AAAAAAGTAACTGCAGTTATTTTTATGCATGAAATATCACGGCGCACTCTTTCACAATACCTTTGTTAGTGGATTAGGAAAACGAATGCAAGCATTTGAACACGTATGTACTTATTATTGAAGTGCCTAGATGACAGCACGTACTCGCAAAAGTACTAAATTAAAAAAGAACATACAAGTATGATTTCAAGAGGATGGTAGTTTGTTCAATGGGACACTGAACGCAAGCGGACTCGGTAGCAATAGGCTTTTATCGCTACTCAGAAATCACATTGTAGATTTTTTAAATAAATATTTTTTCACAATATTACTTCTAATTATAAAGCAGAAATCCGGAAAATCTTTCGGGAAGACAGTAAATCCATATAAAAAAGTTTAAGTTCAAATGAAGTCTGAGTTCAAATAAAATGCAAGGTAGTTATAATTTTTAGGTATGAAAAATGCTCATAAGAGTGTTATAGGATGTTTCCCTGTAAAGTAGACCACAAAATAGACATTTTGTGGTCTACTTTACAGGGAAACATCCTATAACACTCTTATGAGCATTTTTCATACCTAAAAATTATAACTACCTTGCATTTTTATTAATTCGTTTTATAAAAACTTATTTATAACAAGCCTACTTTAAAGCACAAATTTCTCATGCATCCCTTATACATCTTTTTATAACGAAATATTATAACAAATTTACAGTTACATTTAATTTATGATAGAAAATCCTTCTGTTTACATGCCCAATTTAGAGGTTTGGTTTATTGATCTATGTCATCTAGTGCACACTTTGGGCTAAACAGACAGGGACCTACAGTTTAAAGTGGATTCCGAACCACTACAATCATCCACGACACCACCGGGACTCGAACCCGAAACCCACAACCAGAGCGCTAGCCACTCGGACATCAGACCCCTCCAAATTACAGGACGAACTCAATTGTATCCCTTGTAGCTTTTTCATGATTAAATATAAAAACATTTTAGTTTTATTTAATTATATTAAAACATGCTGCAAAATACTTTAAAAAATTAATTCATCATGAAAATTTGAATTCTTAAAATATATTTCAACCTTGCAATTAAATAAATACTACAAAATTAATAAATACTTTCCTAATTTATTCCTTTCTAAAGAATTTCACTCACTTAAAATGTCTATAAATTCTTTAAAATATTACTGTTGAGTAATCCATTTGTTTCTAATATGATTTATTTAATGTAAATAAAAGAATTCCTATTTATTAAAAAAATAAGAGGACATTACATTAGTAAAAAAAATCAAAACTCTCATATCACTAATAGGAATTTAAGAAGTAAAGTCAGTTTCTAAAGAAAACAAATATTTAAACTTTAAGAAAATAGGTTGCATTAAAAAGTATTAATGTGCTGTTTTTACAATGTAAATAAAAATGAAGAACTTCAGGGAATTTGCCGCTGTTGCGCAACTATGAGTAAACTATTTTATTAAAATTAGTTAATTTAATTGATTCAATGCCGACCTTTTATGTATCCAATCTTTAAAAAAAATAAATGCCACAAAGAGAATGCATTAAATACATATGTTAAAAAACTGCTTAAGATTCTAAATTAGTGAATCCTTTTTGCCAAAACAAATTATCTCTTTACAAATCGCTTTATTTATACTTGAAAGACTTTATAGAATATTTTTTTTTTGTATTTTATGATATTTTTTAACATTGTCTTTCATTGCGAAAAGCTATTAGTTATTTATATAATATTCACTTGAAATCAAACAATTCATGTTTTCATAAAGTTTTTAACTTTCGTTAATTTTCTGAATATTTTAACTTCATTAAATCTCTTTTAAATTGATTTCACATTAATAAATAAATCAAATATGTTTTAGTTTAAAACTAAAGGTTTTAAACTAAAACATATTTGATTTATTTATGCTTTATTAATAATGTAAATGTATCTGAATTGTTAGAATATAAATAAAAAATGCATATTAGACTCGAAAATTCAGTTATCAATAGAAAGTTAACCAAGTAAATAATTAATTGCTTTATTAGGGAAGACAAATATAAGTTTTTGTTCATATTCTGCTTAAGATTTCAATATAGAACTGATAAAGATGTCCATAAAATCAAGAAGTAATGATTTAGTTAAGTTAACGTATAAATTTTTGTATTATGTAGAAATTCTTACTATTCGATAATAGATTGCGAATCAATATTTATGCTATTTTTTTTAAATCTGTTCTTATACCAAAAAAAAAACTATTTAAGTTGTAAAATAGCAATAATTTAAATATGATTATTAAAATCATATTTTTAAAATGTATAATTTTCAACTTTAAATAAAATGTTATATCTCATAGAATTTTTAATGTTTCTCAAGAAGTTTAAAGATAATTTTGATTTTACAATTGATTTTATTATCAGTAATGGATTGTGGTTTGAAATGGTAGAAGTTGATAAATAATAATAGGTCAAATAATAATATTATATTAATTAGTATTTACATAATATCAGGTTGGGGAAAAAGAAATCCATTATTTTTTCGATAGATGGCTGTAGTGATCGATATCACGTAAAGTATCAATTAAACAATTTCAGATTTATGCTCGTTAGAAAGGTGGCACTTCGTACTAAAATAATTCTTTTTCTGTTTTTTGTTTGGTCCATTCAGTTGGGAGTTACAGGGTGTTAAAAATGGAAGTGAACAAAGAGAAAATTCGGTACATTTTACAGTTTTTCTTTGACAAAGGCGAAAATGCAAGCCAGGCGGCTAAAATTGTGAATGGTGTTTATGGTTCCGACACTGTAACAGCCAATTATGTGCAATTTTGGTTTCGTAGATTCCGTTCAGAAATTTTTGATGTTAAAGACGCACCTCGCACAGGTAGGCCGGTCGTCGAAAATGTCGATAAAATCGGAGAAATGATCGAAGTTGACCGGCATGTTAGCAGTCGTAACATCGCCCAGGAGGTAAAAATCGACCATAAAACAGTTTTAAACCATTTACACAAAGCTGGATTCAAAAAGAAGCTCGATGTTTGGGTGCCACACCAATTAACAGAAAAAAACATGATGGATCGAATTTCCATCTGCGAAGCCTTGGCCAAACGGAATGAGATAGATCCATTTCTTAAACGGATAGTGACTGGAGATGAGAAATGGATCACATACGATAACCCTGTGCGAAAACGATCGTGGTCAAAGAGCGGTGAAGCACCTCAAACGGTGGCCAAACCAGGACTAACGGCCAGGAAGGTTCTGTTATGCATTTGGTGGGACTGGAAGGGGATTATTTATTATGAGTTGCTTCCATATGGCCAAACGCTAAATTCTGATCTCTACTGTCAACAACTGGACCGTTTGAAGATAGCGGTTGACCAGAAATGGCCAGAATTGGCCAACAGGAGAGGTGTCGTGTTCCACCAGGACAACGCTAGGCCACACACATCTACAGTGACTCGCCAGAAACTTCGGGAGCTTGGTTGGGAAGTTTTAATGCATCCGCCATACAGTCCGGACTTGGCACCAAGCGATTATCATCTTTTTCTTGCATTGCAAAATTTCTTTAATGATAAAAAATTGGCATCTAGGGAGGATTGTGAAAATCGACTACTGGAGTTTTTTGCAAATAGAGACCAGGACTTCTATGAGAGAGGCACTATGAAGTTACCTTTAAAATGGCAACAAATCATACAACAAAACGGTGCATATTTGACCCAAATCGAACAATCCGAAGCATGTTAAATAAAGTCCTGAAGTTCATATAAAAATAGTGGATTTCTTTTTCCCCAACCTAATATATTAATTTACATAAATTATTTTAATTCATGGATAAAATTAGTTTTAAAACAAATATTACTTTTATAATTCAATTTAAACCAGTTTATTACTTTTTTGAAACCAGATTATTTTGTGTTCAAAATAATGTGTTATTAAGTTTTATGAAGCTAAGCATAATAATAAAGTTTTCTCCCTAAAATATATATTTTTTTCTTTCTAATGGAGCTGGCAAACACAGACACCTTGGTATTGGATGCCTTAAAGCAAGCGCTGCACAGATGTACTCACTTTGCATTACCCAGGGGGCGCGTGTAACTTGAAGATAAGTCACGGACGCGGAGTAACAATGCCCCCGCAACGCTCTACGATCTTATTAGACCGGGACCTACGGTTTAAAGTGGATTCCGAACCACTACAAACAACCATGGCACCGCCGGGACACGAACCCGAAATCTGTGGTACCGAGCGCCAGAGCGCTAGCCACTCGGCCATTCAGGCCCTCTCTCTAGAATATAAAACAAAAATATATTAAGAATTTATTTGTCATATTTTCGTAAAGTTCAGTGGACTGTTGATTATCACACATTTCAGGTCAATCTTGGCATCTTAATGGCTATCAGATTCCTCACATCCAGTGGGGGAAATAGTGAGGCCGAAGTAGGGGTCAGAAAAAGGGCATACGAGGACGGACCAATATAGGAAGAGATAGGCCATGTGTGGACAGCAGATTTTTTATTGTAGATAGCTTATTTAATTGTAAGCGATTAAAAAGCTGTAAAAATGGATAGCCGTAGATATGCTTTCTTTAAATAATGAAGAAAATCCATTAAGGACAATTGACAATATTCATGAAAAATATGATACCTAAATTATTTTTAACATAAAATCCGTATTTAACACTATTAAGAAATAGAATCACATTTGTGTTAGATAAACAATTCTATTTTTGCGTAAATAACTAATATGTTGTTGTTTCTTATCCCACTTGGCTGGCCAAGCCCACGAGCCCATACGTACTCATGATTGAAGGGGAAGGAAGCAGCTTCTGTTCTGATGGAGCACCCGTAAGTAGAAGTCTGACTTTTGCTCCGTGACGCTCTTACAGTCATAGGAGACAGGGACCTGCGGCTTAAAGTGGATTCCGAACTACTACAAACATCCAAGTCCCCGCCGGGATTCTAACCCGAAACCTGTGGCACAGAGCTCCAGGCACTCGGCCATTCAGGTCCCAAATTTGTGAATGCCAACGGCACGCGGTGTTCCCAGGTGGTCACCCACTCAAGTACTGACCACGCCCAACGATGCTTGACTTCGGTTACAGCATATTCAGCATGGTATGGCCGTTGGCATATTATTCAAATATTATTCTAATAAATATTACTACTTAAAATAACATTATTTGAATTTTACTTACACTTTTTACAAAAATTGGCAATTCTAAATACACTCTAAGTCAATATGCTCTTTGCAGGGTATATTTAAAATTATATCTGCGTTTATAATGCGATCTATATAATGTATCCATAATATAATGTAAATGATGTATCCCTAATAAAATATATAGATAATGTATTCAAAATGTCAAATAAAATAAGTAAAACGCATTCTTATTTAACAAACAAACGCGAAGTAAGATTCAGAACAAAATTCTTAAATAAGACTGTTGGTCACTAAATTTGTATTCAATATGTCCTGTGCAGGATATATTGAATATATTGTGTTCTAATATAATCAATTTTGCATACGTAATATAATCTATATCATATATTCATCATGAAATATAAATATAAATGTATAATGTAATCAATATAATGCAATCACAGTGTAGTTCATATAATTTATAGAATGTCTTAAATAGTCAATTCGCAGTAAATAAGTAACACGCAGGTTTATTTATGAACAAACAAAAACAAATATAATACTGAAAACAAAATTCTTAAACAGGATTGATGGAAATTAATTCCGTATCCAATATGCTCTTTGCAGGATATATTGACGATATTGTTTTCTAATGTATTCAATTATGCATACCTAATAAATCTAATTAAGTATCCTTAGTGGAATCCATATAACGTATTCATAATATAATTTAAATACTCTATCCATAATGCAATCTATATAATGCATCCAAAATATAATCAGTATAATGTAATCATATTATAATTCCTATAATTTATACTACTTCAGAAACTGTCAATTCAAAACATCAATTAGTATAAGTAAAACTCAGGTTTATTTAGGAACAAAACAAAAGCAAATGTAATACTGAGAACAAAATTCTTAAATAAGTCTCATGGAAACTAAGTCTGTATTCAGCATGTTTATTGCATGATGTCTTGAAGATAGTATATTCTAATATAATCATGTATGCATATTAAAATCTAATTAAGCGCCTTTATTGAAGATATATATTGTATCCATAATGTAATCTCAATGCTTATAATTTATACATTGCCATAAATGTATTTTCAGGATACATTTTAGAAAATCTCTCAAAGAAGAATGAGCGCAGCTGTAAATAAATGAGTAAACAATCAATAAATAAAGAAAATAAGACAAATAACATTATGTGAAAAGTTTTAAATAGAATAACCAATATTTGTTCTTTTTGAAATTAATTATATTTCGAACACTTTGACTGTACTCTCCTACTCACAATTTCATACTTTTATCTGTTTTAACTTATCGCTGATTAAGGGGCCTGATGGCCGAATGGCTAGCACTCTGCCGTTCGGTACCACAACTACCGGGTTCAAATCCCGGCTTTGCCATGGGTGTTTGTAGTGGTTCGGAATCCACTTTAAGCCGTACGTCCCGGTCCTATAATAGGATCGTAGAGCGCTGCGGGGGCAGTGTTACTCCGCGTCCGTGGCTTACCATCAAGTTACACGCGACCCCTAGGTAATTCAAAGTGAGAACATCGGTGCAGCCCTTATGGCGAAGATCACGGTCTATTTGCCAGCTGCATTAGCAGAAGGAACTTATCACTGACAGCAGATGATAAAATTCCAACTAATCCATCTCCTCTTGCAGATGAATTAATACATTTATCGACATCTTCCATCAGGAGATTAATTGTCTGGATCCGTGGAAGCTATGAAACTAATCTGCTTGACTTGGTTACAATGGCATACGGCATCAGCATTCACCATTCAAAAGCCGCCACTTTCGTGTTTCAAACTCTATCGATAAGGAGGTCAGGGAGTAGTGATAGATGGTTGTTTGATCTCACCTTCAGCAATCAAATGTTTCGGTGTTCCTTTGACAACCAACGTGTTTGATGCAAGTGATTGAAGAAGTTAAAATTAACTGCTGATATGGATGATAAATTTGGAAACAGGCTAACATTGCGCTGTAAATTGAGATACAATATGTTTCTTTAATTACGCTTATTTTAAATATATGAAGAATTTTAAGTTTAATTCAAAAATTAAAAAAACACGATAATAAGAGATGGAATAAATATATATTTAGTCATTTTTTTGTTTTAATTTCATTAGTATTTTACTACAAAATTCCTTTTGTATGTTGAAAAATTCCTCAATAGTGAACATTTACATTTAATATAAACGCACAGTTCTAATGATTTAAAACGGAAAAAAATGTTCTAAAGAATCTATGTAAGTTCAAATGAATAATATAAGTTCACATGCATCTCTGTAAGTTCACATGAATCTAGGAATAAAGGAATCTATGTAAGTTCGCAGGAATCTATATGTTCAAATGAATCATGTAAGTTCACATGGATCTATGTAAAATCACATGAACTATATAAAATCCCCATGAATCTGTGTAAAATCACATGAATCCATGTAAAATCACATGAATCTATGTAAAATCACATGAATCTGTCAATGAAGGAATCTATGTGAGTTCACACGAATCTATAAGTTCAAATGAACCATGTAAGTTAACAGGAATGATGTAAGTTCAAATGAACCATGTAAGTTAACAGGAATGATGTAAGTTCACATGAATGAAGTAAGTTCACAAGAATCTATGTAAAATCCCTTGCATCTGAGAACGAATGAGTCTATGTAAGTCCAGCATGACTATGCAAGATATTTTTCAAAAAAATGAATTTTTTTCAAGATTTAACAATAAATTTTATATAATATTAATTAACTACATTAGTAAAAGTTAATTAGTAAAGTTAAATTAAGTTACATTGGTAAAGTTAAATATTCGCATATTATAAAAAACACAGAAATTTTATTTTTTTTAATTCTCGTTCATAAAAAAAAAATGAAACGTGACAAGTTAAAATTCAAAAAATTGTATAATTTCCAAGTTCATAAAAAACTGTAACATTTATCTTATTCTATATTTCAAACTATCCCACCATTCTAAGTGCCCTTTTTGTTGGATTCTTAGGTCTTTATCGATATATGGCTAAGCCATCGTAAATCCTGATTACCATCCGAAAGACATAAAAGCAACACTCAAGGAGGACATTTAAAAGATAATATTTCTAATGTATGGCCTATTTGCATCAAATGGTCTTCTGGATCTTGAAGCATTTGAATGAGACATAGGAGGAGATCATTTAGGTACAAATTCACCAATTATTGTTTTGAGAAGGGATTTATTTTTTAATAGAATTACTTGGTTTAAATTAGGTTTTATATCCTTGATAAATTGTTTCATTGCAAAGAGTGATATTGTTTGTAAGTAACAAAATGAAAAAAACAATTATAATAATAAGTGAGAATATTAATTTGTTTCAAGATTTAATATTATTTGTGTAAGATTTTGTCACATTTCGAAAAGTTGTAGATATTTTATTAATCTGGAATTTAGGATATTTTTTATTTGTAATTTACCATTAAAGTTCAAACGACACATACACACACAAATATTTACATAGGATAAAGGAAATAGAAAATGCAATAAAACAAAACAAAAACAAACAAAAATTACACTCACATACATTTTTTATCATTAACTTAATGTACTTCCTAGATTGTTAAAAAATTGGAACTGAATTTACACAATCGCTTCAGGCTATTAAGAATTTATTCAATAATTCAAATGCTGTCTCCAATTTTCATCATATTAAAAACTTTGTACCTTAGAAAGTCAAAATGATAGCATTTATAATTTGACATTGTACATCTTTTTTTTTTGTACAACATCTTTTTTGTGACACAAGCATAATTTGGAATCTTAGGGGTAAATCGAATATTTTTTTTTAATGTTTGTGAAGAATCTTGCGTGTACGTATTTGGTTTCTTTTTTACCATTCATTTTTTGTTCATTCTTTTTCAAAAAAAAATTATACAGTGAGGAGTTAAATTGTATACTCCACAAGTTAATATAAAACTGTGACTTTCCAAATTGTCCCACCATTCTACTCTTTGTGTTCCTTCCATCGAACTCTGGAAATATTTCATACCAAATCAATTATCCTCCCCCCAAAAAAGAAAACTTTAGAGGAATCGTTGTCCAGTCCACAATTGCGCGCCCGAAGGCCTTTCTGTCCCGAAAGACACAGATCGAATCTGTCCAATAAGGGAAGGGGGGAGAGGTAGGGGGTGGCAGAGGTGCCGCATCTTTTGATTTGGATGGGTTCCCTTTGTTTGCTGGACCTTTCCTTTCTTGTTTGTGATCCCGATTGAAATGCCAAGAAACAGTTCCGGATAAACTCCCTGTTGCCTCGAGCGTCCATTTGCCTCATTGTTAAGAGATCGAACATGGGATTTGGCTTCTCTAAGGATGAGTTGAACAGGATGGGTCCTCGGTTTAAAAAAAGAAGTGCTTCCTTTAAAGAAATTTCTTCAGGGAACTAATAAGGAAAGAGGACTATTTATTTAAAGATTTTATCAAATGTTAGTTATAGTGTGATTGCTTACATGTGCTAACGTGGGATTGTCCTGGTAAGAGTTTCGTGATGTCCACTATAAAATGGTGAAATCGATAAATTGATTGAAGTGAAATTGAATCTTTACAACAACGTTCCACAAAATTGAAATAACAGTTGAGGGAAGGTATTGTCCTAGTAACTGTTTCGTGATATCCACAAATTAAAGGATGAAATTCTAAGCAAAATAGAGCTCTTTCTTCTATAGCAGGGATGCACAGTTGAAGAAATAATGTGATGTAAAAACAACAACAAGAAACTCTCGAAGTTCATCTCCTACTCACATTATTATATATAATTTAAACTATTTTTAATATAAATTCAATTTTAACAGTCATAATTTTTTTATTGTATATAATTTTATTTCTTTATATTTTATCATAAAAATACTCAAAATCATATAATAAAAGTCAAATAAAGAATTGATGGATGACGTTATAAAAATTTAATATCTAAGATATCTATTATTGTGAGAATTTTAATTT